TAAGCCCTGCTTCTAGATCAAGCAGGAGGCAATTCTAATGATCTCACAGGACCCAGCATCATTCAGGCCCTGTATCTGGTATTCCCAGTGAGCATCAGGTATTATTTTTGAGACACTGGTGAACTTTGAACTTCTGTGATTTCTCTGTTTGCTTAATGCCTGATAGTCTTTGGTCTGCTAATCTCCTTTATGCAGAGCTTGACCTCTGCACTTCCAAGGGGAGGAATTGGAATCATCCTATGAGGGAAGAGATGGTTCTAGCATACTGAGTGGGTACCCTTGATAAAAGGATTTGCCTATTGTATCTCATGTCCTTCTAACATAAGGTTAGATCATTAACCATATTTAGTTACCCTTTTCCTATCACATAAATTGTGTTATGTATTTCCTAAGCTTTTCTGCTCTGATGAAATTGACCAGATTACAAAATAAAAAGCACTAGGTATGAAAACTCACGGTTTATCCCCATTTAAACTTTGGAAAACTCAGAGCTCTGCTTAAAATCAAGAACTGCCAGAGCAAATGATTAACAGGAGAATGATTTCATTGACATTGTGGTCTACATGACCAAAAAAGAAGAAAGATAACATTTAAATTTGGTGATCAGCATTTTACACACTAATTGGAATTTTTATCTTTCTTTGAGGCTATGATTTCATTCTTTAAATGCCTCAATTGAAAGAGTATGGTGATAAAAGAAGTAGAAAATAAACTTTACTGATTTCAGAATGTCCCCTAGGGCTTGCCTGTTTGAACAAATACTTAAAAGTGGGTGGGTAGTAGGAAAACAGTTCGGAATCAATATTTTTAGACAAAATCCCATTGCCTGTTAATTGAAAAGTAATTTTTCAGATTGTCTGTAAATCAAGAGTTTCTTGGGTAATATATAAACATATGGGGAGAGAAACATAGCCATCCAATAGGTGATTTCTTTTATATTACAATTCAAATTTATTTCCTATTGCCAATTCTCATGCCATTCTAAGCCACATAATAATACATTCTTCTATAAAGCAGAGCTTTGCAGCTTATGACACATTTCAGCAATATTAATGCAGAAGAATTATTGGATATGAGCTAAGATGTAGAGGGCTCCTAAGAAAAGGGAAATTAGGCATCAATGTATGGGGAAAAAGACTTCAACCTAAAATCTCAAATCTTAGATGAAACGTCTCAAAATGGATCAAGATCTGAAATATAGAGTGTAATTTTTCAGTAGACCTAGGAGAAAATCCTTATGACCTTGAGTTGTACCATATATATATGATCAGTGACATGAACTATAAAAAGAAAAATGGTAAATTGAACTTGATCAAATTTAAAATGTTTGCATCTTCCCTAAAAGCTAACAATGTTGATCATCTTTTTTTTTTTTTGGTTCCAGGGGTCAAGCTCGGGTCCTTGCGCTTGTGAGGCAGGCAGCAGAACCACTGAGCTAAATCCCCAGCTATTAATCATCTTTTCATCTGACAACTTTCCATCCATATGTCTTCTTGGGTGAAATATCTGTTAAATCTTTTGCCAACCTTTTAAAGATTGGGTTGATTTCTTATTGTTTAATTTTGAGATACATATATATATATATAT